TATTAGCTCTACATAAAATAGCTAATTGTCTTGACCTCGTCCTGCTAGAAGTGATCAGGGTTTCTTGTTCTGTGCTTTTGGTTGTGATTTTTTTATTTTAGAGATAGTTCAGAAAATTGTTATTTCTGAATTTTTGGGTCCTCTATTCTGTCATCAGTTACTAACCTTTAATATATCTAATATGAATTGAAACAGCCAGTTATCTACTCTGTAAAACATTTCACATTCAGCACCTTACAGCTTTAATCTAATGTACTGACATCCAGTACTACTGGATCGAAAAGGCTTTTCCAGCATGGAAATCCACTTTCTATTTTACCAGGTGACAGACATAGCTGAATGTGACATAACTGCTTGTTTTTTCACAGTTAACAGGATACATTTCGTATTCTGCTAAAAAAAAAAGAGGTGACTGAAGAGCAGAAGGGAAGGCTGCTTTCATCTGCTGCACACCAGGACAAATGAAGCCTTTCAGAAGAAGGAGGACCCACTTCTTCCTCCTGAGCATTTGAGCATGTTAATCTCAAGGAAAGTTCAGGAACACAGGACAGTGTGGAGAGAAGCATTTCTATTTCATCTCACTTACCAGACCTGACCATTCCCTATTTTAAAAGTTACACAAATCTAGTTTATTAGCTTGCATTCTATGAAGCACTTTTCCCTCTGCCTGGGAGGCAAGGAGGGGGTGTTGCACTTTATATTCGAGGAGCTCTGCCTTGTCGGAGGTCAGGTCAGAAGCCAGTTGAGAACATACGGGTGAAGACCAGCAGGCACAGCAACATTCATGCTGTTGTAATCGGAAAGCTGCTGGAAACCTTCTGATCAGGATGAGCCTTCTTCGAACAAATGGAAGAAGTCTCACATTCACACGCCCTTGTGCTGATGGGAGACTTTAACCACTCTGATATCTTCTGGAAGGACAACACAGCAGAGTACAAGCAATCCAGATTTGTGCAGTGCATTGATGGCAACTTCCTGACAAAGGTAATCAAGGAGCCAATAAGGAAACATGCTCTGCTGGACCTCATACTTAAAAACAAGGGAGAAATGGTCAGGAGCAGCCTTAGCTGCAGTGGACATGAGACAGAGTTAAGGATTCTGAAAAGGGGGCACAAGGCAAAAGCAAGACCACAGCCCTGGCTTTCAGGACAGCAGACTCCAATCTCTTCAGAGATCTGCTTAGAAGAATCCTACAGGATACAAAGAGAAGAAGGTTACAGGGGAGCTGGTTGATATTCAAGGATCACTTCCTCCAAGCTCAAGAGAATCCCATCCTGATAAATAGGAAATCAAAAGCTAGAGGACTGAATGGATGAGCAAGGAGCTCCTGACTGAACTCAGACATAAAAAGTAAGTGTACAAGTGTACAAGAGGTGGAAGTAGTGGCAGATGACCTAGAAGGGGTATAAAGATGCCATCCAGTTGTGCAAGGATGGAAAGCCAAGGCTCACCTGAAGTGAAATCCAGCAACGGACATGAAGGGCAACAAGAAAGGATTCTACAAGTACATAAACAGCAAAACAAAGAGTACAGAAAACATGAGTCCGCTGCTGAACAGGATAGGAAATTTGCTGGCAAAGGTCACAGAAAGGCTGAGGTACTGAATGTCTTCTTCACCTCAGTCTTAACCGGTAAGATTGACTTTCAGGATTCCCAGACCCCTGAGACCAGGAGTCTGGAGCAAGGAAGACTTACACTTGGTCGAAAAGGACCAGGTCAGGGAGCACTTAAACTGGACACACATAAGTTCGTGGGGCCTCATGAGTTGTACTCATGAGTGCTGAGGGAGCTGGCTGATGTCATTGGAATGCCACTCTCAATTACCTTACAAGGGTCATGGTGAATGGGAGAAGTTCTTGAAGACTGGAAGAGAGCAAATGTCAGTCCTCTTTTGAAGAAAGGCAAGATGGAACATGGAGGAAACTACAGGCTGCTGAGTCTCACCTCAGTCCCTGGGAAGGTGATGAAGCAATTACTGCTAGAGAGCATTTCCAAACACACAAAGGACAAGAAGGTGATCAAGAGTAGCCAGCATGGATTTATCAAAGGGAAATCATGCTTAATCAACCTGATTGCGTTCTACAATGAGATGACTAGCTTTGTGGATGAGGGGAGAGCAGTGGATGTTGTTTACTTCCACCTTAGAAAAGCTTTTCACACTGCCTCCTATAATATTCAAACAGAGAAGCTGACAAAGTATGGGTTAGATAAGAAGACAGCGAGGTAGATTGAGAACTGTCTGAACAGACAGGCCCAGAGGGTTGTGACCAGTGGCACAAAGTCCCATTGGAGGCAAATCACTACCCTAGGGGCTGATAGTGAGGTCAGTACTATTCGATTTCTTCATTAATTACCCGGACAATGGAAAACAGTGTGCCCTCAGGAAGTTTGTAGATGATGTAAAACTAGAAGGAGCGGTTGATATGAGTATGGTGCTATTCAGAGGCATATCGAAAGGCTGGAGAAATAGGTCAACAAGAACTTCATGAAGTTCAACAAAGGGAAGTGCAAAGTCCGGCACCTGGGGAGGAATAACCTCAAATACCACTGCACACTGGGGAGCAGCCAGCTGGAAAGAGAAAGATCTGCAGAGAATGACCTTCGGATCCTGGTGGACAGCAAGATAACCATGAGGCAGCAATGCATCCTCACAGCAAAGGCAGCCAACTGCCTGGGCTGCAAAAGGAAGAATGTTGTCAGCAGGGGGAGGAAGATGATCCTTCCTCTCTACTCAGCACTAGCGGGGCCAGGTCTGGAGGGGCCAGTTCTGGGTTCTCCAGTACAAGAGATGGAGCTACTGCAGAGAATCCAGTGAACAGCTAGGAAAAGGCACATCTTTTATATGGAGAGAGGCTGAGAGAGCAAGGACTTGTCAGTCTGGAGAAGGCTAAGAGGAGATCTTATCAATGTGTATAAATACTGGATGGGAGGAAATGAAGAAGAGGCAGATAGATTTCTCAGAGGTGCCCACTGACAGGACAAAAGGCAATAGGCACAAACAAAAACAAATTCTCAAATGCCAGCTGATCACACGAAAAAATGTTTTTACTGCAAGGGCGGTCAAACACTGGCACAGGCTGCCCAGAAAGGTTGTGGAATCCCCATCCATAGAGATATTCAAAACTGGACAGACTCCTGGGCAACACTCTCTAGATGACTCTGCTTGAGCAGGGGGGTTGAACTAGATGACCTCAACAGATCCTCATCAACCCCAGTGATTCTGTGATTCTTCCTTTCTTCTTTCTCCTTCTCCTTTGAAATCCACTTCTGTGATAGGAACTCTGACATCGTAAATTTTTTCCTTCAGACTGAATGCCTTACTAACATTCAATAGCATGCATTTCTACAGAAATCGCTTGGAAATAAAAATGGGTCTTCATTCTAATCAAATTATTAAAGGCTCTCAAACACTGTATTTGAAATGGCCTTAGCTCATTAAATTGTGCTACAATTTAATTTAAGAGCACGTCGTGAATACAAAAATCAAGAAATATACTATACTCTGAGCTGGGCTTGTTGTCTTCTTTGAAAAGTCTCTCAAACACAATCTCACCTCTACACACTATGAGTACAATTATGTCCACATGCTTGTTTAAGCTCTCTCACTGTTACCTGAGATACATCTGAATGAATACAGTAACATTAAACTTTTGCACTAAATATAGGTCAAAGCTATAGGCAATTATATATAGATGAGTTTGTGTGTGCACACAGACAGACTAAAACACATGCAAAATTACATGCAGTAAGATGGCTTACTGCTAGTTCAATAGGCAGTCAAATATACCATTTGATCTTTTAATCTTTTTCAGTTAATTGCTCATTCTGCATCACTGAGGCCTGTACTTGCCTACAGACATTAGGATCATAGAGAAGTGAGCAAAACATTAAGTCTTATTCCTCATATTTATCAATTGATTAGCAGATCAAATCAAGATTAAATAAAAACCAGCACTATTATCTTTCAGTACTTTCTCAGTATTTATCTAAGATTGTAAGGCTTTTTAATAAAAATGATGCATTTTAAACCTCAACTGATTTGATTACATAACATATATTATAGAGGAACTAAGGAGTTTTCCACTTTTTATTCTAATCTTATATTTCTGCTATCTAACCCATTACGGGGGAATCAAAATGTTTTTCTCCATATAAAGTGACACCAGAGAAAATTTGCATCTCAAAACAATGACACACAGAAAATAAAAGTAGTATTCTTGGAAGGGAGAGAAGGAGGGAGGAAAGGACAGAACTTTCGTAATACACTTTCTTAGCTTAAACAGCAATAATGTGTGTAAGAAGCAAAATTTAAATCTGATCTTGTACTAGTGAAATTAAAAAATTTATTAATCCATAGTTATAAAGAGATACATTTGATCAAGCCTTAATCCAGAATCCAGCTAGGATTTTTGACAGAGTTACACATTACAAATTGTAACTCTGATTCCTCCATTGCAGTCTAAGTATCTAATCCTCCTCTAGTGAAATAAATGGGAGACATTCCAAAATAATCCATAGAAGTTGGATGACATCCATACAGAATCATACTAAAGATCAAGGAGTCTACTCTGTGCCACAGATTGATTGGTTTTAGCTACACAAAATAAATAAATATATGTGAAAAAAACTTAACTTAAACCTGAAAGCTTCTCAAAATACCAAATTTTCTGTCACAGATTAGTCACACATGCAGACAATATAAAGATACACCTGGAAAAAATACTGATGCAAACTTTTTTGTTGTTTTTCTCACAACACAGGCATCAGAAAATAGCTTTTTTTTTCTATAGAGCTTTTAAAAATGTTGTGTTTTAAATAAATTCTGAAGTCACCTTTCAGACCACTTCCAAAAAACATTCTTCCTTCTTGAATTTTTATTTTCATTCTTGGTCCTGCCTAAGGTTAATGGAAAGAGAAACCAGTTGTACCTGCAGACTCAGGAAAGAAGTCTAAAAATATCTCCTGACTGTATTTTACAAACAATATTTTAAAACACTCACCAGTTTGCCACCAGTGGTCCAGTACAGGTACCTTGAAGATTTTCTTTGACCATTCTAGCGTGTCCACATCACAGTGCTCACCAGCTACGAATAATGTTCTGAACCTTTAAATAAAAATAAAAAAGTATATATCTTGATCTGGACAGGCAAAGGAAAACATGAGAACAAATTCAATAAATATCTCTGGATGGTGTCCCAGATAAAGAGAAAAGGGGAGCAAGGACTCTTACTCTTTGTATGCTCCTTCTTACTAAGTAACAATTAGAATCTTAGCAATATTAATTTATGCTACTTAATACATCATGTAAAAGAAGATCTATTTTCTGAATGCAAAGACCTTGGGAGACCAGAGGCAAGCAACTGTCAATGAAAGTAAAAAAATAGATAAATGCTCTGTATACAGGAACTAGGTAGATATTCTTTAGGCAAAACATAAGAATGAAATACTAAAAAAGAGTCAGAAAGAGATATCAGAAGAATTAGTAAAGAAATAAACAGAACTAAAAGGAAATACCTGTAGCAAATTATTAGTTTTAAGTTGTTAATAATATTCCATTTAAACAGATTTTAGTTTCTTTTGAACTGTTGAGTCATCTTTTATAGGTCTTTGAAAACGAGTTTGGGGGGAAACAATGGGACATAAAGCCATTTTCCTCCTGAGAGGCAGGCTATATATGCATAAATAAAAAAAATAAAGTAACCCTACTAGATAATGCCAACCAGAACAACATTCAGCAGCCTCAGGTCCTTCATCGCAGTACCTGACTTCAGTGCGTTTTGCTGGACGTTCTGCATCCAGCTCTGGCAGAGGAGAGATGCAATGCCTGGCAGTCCTGACAGATGTGATCTGCATGCTTGTGCCACTAAATTAGGTAGTGCTATATAACTGAGTATTAAACCCACACACAGTCTCTAACTTCAGAATCTTTTATCGAATGTTTAGTCACACTTTATCATCCTTCATTAAGCATTACAAATCCACTTTACACTCTGTTTAGAATGATAAGGTCCTCTGTGTCAATAGTAGCTTTCTTAAAAATGACTATCAGTACCCAGAAGCTAGACATTACCATACTTTACTGCATGCTGCTAAGGTTTTGATATTTCTAACAATTCCTCAGTAACTTTATTCACGTCATAGTAGAGTTTTTGCATTTATTTCCTAACAAGCAATTTAAAAAAACTGATAAATTGCATATGGTGCGGCCTCACCTTGACTACTGTGTGCAGTTTTGGGCCCCACAATTTAAGAGGGCTGTTCAGGTACCTGAATGTGTCCAGAGGAGGACAACAAAGCTGGTAAAAGGGCTGGAAGGCATGTCCTATGAGGAGCAGCTAAGGACTCTGAGTTTGTCTAGTTTGCAGAAAAGGAGGCTGAGGGATGACTTCATGGCTCTCTACAGCTTCCTGGGGAGAAGTGGAGAGGGAGGTGCTGAGCTCTTCTCCCTGGTATCCAGTGACAGGACACGTGGGAATGGTTTAAAACTGTGCCAGGGGAGGTTTAGACTGGACATTAGGAAACAATTCTTTGCTGAGAGGGTGGTCAAACACTGGAACAGGCTTCTGAGAGAGGTGGTCAATGCCCCAAGCCTGTCAGCATTTAAAAGGCATTTGGACGATACTCTTAATAACATGCTTTAACTTTCAGTCAGCTCTGAATTGGTCCAGCAGTTGGACTAGATGACTGTTGCAGGTGCCTTCCAACTGAAATACTCCATTCCATTCCATCCCATTCTAAAGTCACGAATACTCATGACACTGGCGAGACACTGTCACCTAACAAGATACTAAAGAGAAGAATCATTTATGATCTTGCCCTCACACCTCCAACAAAGAAAGAAGCAATACTCTTCAGGTAGAAACACAGAACATTTAATTTAGGTTCATTATGTACTGATGAACTGCTGATTTATATTCAATACTTTGTCATTAGTACATGTCTAGATTTATAGTCTGTGTTGTGACAACATGGTTTCTATTGACAGCAATGCATGGTATTTATCTTAATTGGCTCTTATTATCCCAAAAACACGTCTATGTTGAACTAGTTCTCTAGGCTTCTTCTACAGTCCACAAAGAAAAAGACGCAATTTTAAACTGTAATTTACCTTTAAGAGACTCAAAAGAGTAAGGTTTATTTTTTACATCTATTAAAAAAAAAAAAAAAAGAAAATCAAAATGAAACAAAATCCAAGGCCCTAGAGCATGACTAAACTACAGTATAGAGACTTGGATAAGTTACTCTTTAAAAAAATAGCAACAGACACAGCTATTCAGTTATTGCATTATAACTTGAAAGGAATGTTCCTGCATCTCAGAAGAAGGAAAGCAGGGGAATTTAAGACATATCATTTCTAGTTTCATTTTACATATAAATCACAATAGAAAACTGCAACTCCTTCCCCAGAAGGCTTGTGTGGCAATCTGAAACACTTCAGCCACACCAATGCCTGTTTGTAACAACCAGGTGCAATCCTGCCGCAAGGAATAATGTGAATTCTGAATGCAGAGCTGCCACGCACATGCCCTATTGCTACAGACCAAAGAATTTGCTTCCCTTCTATAGTATCCACACAGGGCGGGCTCATGCCTTCCCTCTCCCAAATCCTCCTTACTCAGCATATGATCAACAAACACAGCACTTTCATTTTACTCAAAGATGCAATTTAAAACCTCAAAGAGATAAGAGGCAAACAAATCAGAAGAATTCTGTTTACTAGCAAGTAACCTGTCTTTGAGTGAAAGAGTACAGGTATACTCACAGTACAAAGGACTAAACATTTCACAAACAGCCTGTCAAGCCAAGAGAAACTGCAGAGACACTCTGCCAAGTACTGCATCAATCCTCAAGGCTTCTGAGAGGATCAAATGCCTAATCAGGATACGAATGGAGTTTCATGTGGCCCAACATCAGACGCTGGGATTAAAAACACTTATCCAAAGTGTCCCTTTGTTAGGATTGCAGCATGCTTTACCACAGCCAGATCAATGTCAGTGACATTTTGTTTCACTTCAAGTCTTCACACAGTCCATTATGCATTCAACTGCTGAACAAAGGACTTGACTCGTGTCCTTCAGCAACGGACACAAAATGCATTGATTTTGTAAAACCTGTAGACCTGTGGCCATAAAGAGAGAATTCTTAGATCTGGTGGGCATGAAACAAATTTCAATTCAGAGACATGTAATCTAGAAAGAAAACTACAAGATTCATCTTTCCATGTACATGAAATCCAGGAATTTAGGAAATTGCAAGAAAAATCAGCAAGTAACTCAATGGTGTCAGAAATGAGAAAGGGAAATAAATGCACAGGTCATCCTGTCTGACCACAGGACTGGCAATATCTCTAAGAAGGAACTTAGAGATTGACCTCTCATCTAAAGACCACAGACATCCCATAACAAGGCTGCTCAAAGCAAAAAGCATATTCTGAATATTCACACTTCATTCCTCTCCAGAGGACAGACACGTCCCGTGAGCACAAAAGGCAACCTCTCAGTGTAAGGACTAGCGACCTACTTGCTGTATAGATGCAAGGCAGGAGAACATACAGATTAAAGCTACATCTGGAGACAACGTAAGTAAAACATGAGATGAAACATCATGAGTGCATGAAACACACGCAATAAGCCATGTGCCTTAAAACTGAATAGAGTTTTTTTTCACAGTGACGCTTGGCCTAAACATAAAAATTCAGATGAGTTTATTGTCTTTTAGATCCATTTACACATCTCTAGTTAGAACACAGGAAAATAAACTTCCAGAAGCAAAAGACATTGGGAACTCTAATCACCAAGGTAGGGACCCCTGCACCAACTAAATATAACCTGAGGATGGTCTTAGATGTGAACTAAGTACATGTAACCATAATAATAACTTCCATATATGAAAGTCAACGTAGCGCACATCTGGTTACAAACTTACAAAAGTCAGAAGATCTTTAAAAATGTTACTGTGCTGAATTTGAACACGCAGATGAGAGAGTTCAGCTTTCTTCATGTCAGAACAGTGTTTTGGCCAACTCTCCTTTCTGACACCCCAAGATGGCTTGGAGTGGCTTCTTTCTTGGAACAGAAGGCCAGTGGTCAAATGTACAAGCAGCTTTCACATTAAATAAGCATAGTTTTCTGTCCTCATAAATATACAACATCATTTTGGTATACTGCTTTCTGAGTACATCTTCCACATTAGAAGATAATGATCATAATGAGTGTGACTCAAATCAGCATCTTGCACCTGAACGCTTTTATTATAAAGCACAAGCCATTGCTGATAATTACAGTTAATAGCTAACTGGAAGTTGTAACACAGAAAAAAGTTTACGATAGAAGAGAACAAAATAATGTAAAAACCACAAATATGTGTTTTATGAAAAGTTTTTTAAGACTCGTATTTGTATGCAGGGCACTCCTGTTAAGCACTGCAATATTTACAGTATACAGAATGTTCGGTATTTAGGCATGTTAAACACAACATTTCAGCTGTGATGTAAAAATCTAATTTATTAATTACATAAACTGCTGAAAAATTCTGTTAAGTGTCCTTGTTTTAAAAATAAAGCTATCAAAACATCAAGAACTTAAAAGACTTTACAAAAAAGTTAAGACATCATCTCATGCCCTGAGCCAAAAGCAGAATTCCTCTCTTCTGAATTGCCAGCTTTAATAATCAGATTTAATAATCCGCAGGCTCAAGAGCAACCTTATGTTGCAAGAAGGAGAGGGATTAGTTCCTTGGCAAATTTACAGCACAAAACTATCAAAAAGAACACCAGAGCAAAGTGCCACAAGCCTAACAAAGCGTAAGAACTATGGAATTATTGTCTCCTATCAAACAGTATAGCAAGAGAGAGATTGCAATGGTTATAAAAAGTCCCACTGAACAATACTTTAACAGTCCACTTAAAACTTTAAAGCATGTCAATGCACCTGTAATTGCAATCATCTATCACTGCAATGCAGTTAACGGGAAGAAAGATCTGTTAAATAAATATGTCCTAAGCAGTTCTGAAAACCTATATTCCTAACATCAAATTCAGTGCAATCAAGCTTTTAGGCCTTATTCAAGAGCCCAGCAGAGTGGACTTGAATTACCACCTAATACAGGAGACAAATCAAGATCCTCAATGGCCCTGACGTAATCCAAATTGTTCAATGCAGCATGTACATTTTGGTGTCACTCCAAGCACAGAAGAAACCACATCTCCATACTATTTCTCAAAAGCAGAAGTGTTCACATGGGTAATAATCTGAGCTGAGCTGCACTTTTCCAGATTAAAAGATCACATAAGTGGTTTCAGTTCTGGAATGCATACATAATTTTTTCCTGGCAAAGGAAAACTCTATCTGCATTATGTTAAATAAGCTTTTTTCCCTGAAAAGACAGCAAGGAAGTTTCATTTGCATTTCTTAACATAAACCGTAAATAAAGAACTATTACTAATTCTTGGAGTACCTGGAGATTGCAGACACCTAAACATGTTAAATAAATAAATAAATAAATATTTTCAGGTCTTCTAATTTTTCTTAATTGATGTGTTTTCTTGTTCTCCTCCCTGAATAGATTTTTACCTTGGTCATGAGGATCTAAGCACTGGAGGTTTTGGAGACAGAGTCAAAGAGACACAGAACACAACTGCAGCTCAGCTCCTTCTCACAGCGTGGGTAAAGGAGAGCTTCATGAAGGCTCTTCATGAACACAGCTCAGGACTTCAGCAAGAATGGCCGTACATGATGTACAGCAGCACAAAGTAGGGGGTCGCAGACAAAATTGCATAATGTACCTCAGTATGCTAAATTCTGGGTCTTAATCACATATCCTCTAGCAGCATGTGTGAGACATCAATCACGAGAAGGTATTTAGTTCTAACGGTTTTGAATTTGCTACTTCTAATTTCATATCCTCTTCTTCCTGTGTTATGAGACGGAAAATAGGAGTTCCTAATCTACTTTATATTCATTATTTCTGCACAGTTTTTATGCAGTCTCATATTTCTTTCTAAAGTAAGTACATTAATATTTGGTATTAGATAAACAAGCAAGAATGTCTAGATTCTCTTGATATAAAACAGCAGAAAATTCACAACTGACCTAAAGCCAAGAAAGCCAAGTAGGCTATGGGACACAAACTGCAAATTATTACTTGTATGTTAATCTAATCTGCTGAGTTGTTGCCCCATTTCATGCAAAACTGTCAGTTGTCAATCATTGGGAAATCAGACCTGTCCAGTTCATAACAATTAAGTCAATTAAAGCATGAAGTGTGATTCCAAATACGGAGTTAATGGCTTGGTGTTCTGAAGTTACCTCATGAAGATGAGAACAGACTTCAAAAGGTGAATAGGATATGCTCAGGTACATGAGAGTCATAGAGTTTGGATGTACTTGTTTTTCAAACACAACAGGAAGCAATATGATAAGACAGCAAGCTTAGCAGCACTGTGTGTTATCAAAAGTGGCATCTTTAGATCGTTTAGCAATACGTAGTTGAGCAGGGCTTTCATCCTGCAGTATTATAAATTAAACATCTTTTCTTGTTAAGCATGAGCCATGTTTAAGACATAGGTGACATTTCGTGTCAAAGACAAACAAATTTCAAGATATCACTCCAACAGGCAACAACAAATTTGAAGCACAGACACTACAACCTTTGGAAACCTCACATATAGTTTTGTGCAGAGGTCAGCGATACCAGAAACATCAGTTCTTGGCAGAAATTTATTTAACTTTCACCATTTCAAAAGAACACAAGTCTGTTTATAATTTGATTTACTCCTGTAAATCAAGTACTCCCTTGTATATAGGAAGCTGGCATTGCTTACCAACTCTGTATCTTATCAGTAATTGTCTTTTTTTAACAGGATTTTTAAAAAGTGACATTGACCTTTATAATTTTTTTTAAAAGAATTTTTCAGGAATGAAATGTACCATGGTGGAAACCTCTTTCAGGACTGTATTCATGGACATGTGTTTTGGAGTCTCTAGTGTAAGGATACATCTTAGCCCAAGTAGCAGAAAGACATCTCATTTCAAAGATTGTGCACCATATAACAGAAGAAAGTATCGTAAGTCAAGTAAATGAACTAAAGGTAAGACTGATTTCAAACTGAAACAGACAGAATTCACTTGACCTTGGATGGAAAAGTCTATCCAAGTAACACCCAAAAGCAAGGATTTTCCTAGAATTAAAATTTTAATCACCAGTTGGACTCCATTTCTTAACAACTGCACTTACTAGATATTAAATGCTGCACCAGAGGGTTTAGTAAAAAGAAGTCACGTACCAGGGAATGACATGGCTCAAGGCTGAGCGAATTATGAGACAACTAAATCTGCAGACAAATGGAGACGCTCATTAACTATGCACTGAATAGGAATGATGAAACACCTCTTTACATCTGGGGCAACTGATATCAGCAAGGAGACTCTCATCTGGAATTCTCATTTGGCCAGAAAATATGACAACTTACAGACCAGTTTAGCAGATTTTCCATTAAATGAATACCCTAAAGACAGACTAAGTCATTTTAGTCATTGTTTAAAAAATGCTGAGGAACAGTGATTAAATTTTCTAGCATCTGGATCACTTTTCTGTCAATAAACATCACAGAATAGTGCATTAGGGTCTCAAATGAGCTTGTTTCATATTTCAAGGAGAGGTAAGGATTGATGATAGCACTCAAAACAGATGGAAGAAAGTAATGATGAACTTGTAATGAATACCTCAGGAATAAATCCAGCTTACTGACAAAGAAAACTTTCCTGAGCAATTAAGAACATGGAGGACTAATGAAGATACATGGCTTTGCATCTTCCCCTTCTCTTTGGACAAGTGTGATAAAAGAAGTTCTTATGACTGAACACTGCCTATACAGTCTGACACAAATAGGCCTTGCTTGATGCTGAGCAAATTATTCAACATCAAGATTAGATGTGGTCCAAACCCACATATTTTTCAGCTGTAGAATGTTTGCAATAAGATACAGAAACTTGGTCTGTAGAAGTACTAAACACTCACAGATGCAAGTTAGTGCGAGAGGCATTTTATTAATATAACGCTAATAACACATTTTAACCATATAATGCTAAGAACTCTGAAATAGTGGTGGTTCAGTGGCTCAGACTGGATATTCAAATCTAATAGAAGACTTTGACCTTAATCTCCCTGTGCCTCAGCTTCTCATCTGCAAAATACAGATAATACCACTCTCTCATCTCACAGGGGATTTGTGAGGATGAACTCAGTCATGATTTTGAAGCATGGTGATAGTATAGTGATAAACACCTTAAAAACAGTATGAGATAGCAAATAGCTCAGTCTTTGGAGCACATAACCATAAGCAGTAACTAAGTTATGGGGAGATAAACAAAATATTCACTAGCTGATGATTAAACGAACACTAAAGATCCTGTGCACTCAACGAAATGAGAGGTCATGTGGGAAAGCAGTACAGGATCATGTAATCCAGCACTGTATTACAGAGTATAATCACAGGGAAGTAAAATTAAAGTTGAGTGCACAATCCTAACTCCGTAAGAGCTCTTAAGAGCTTTCATCTTCTCCAAACTATCGATATAAATTTATAAGCAAATATATATGCACCTAAATTGTCAAGAATACATTTAAAAATCTGCTATACAGAGGTGGGCAAAGCCCCAGACACTCTGCTATTCTTAGTTCATTCAGCCTGTTTCTGTAAGAAACTGCTTCCACTGTATCCTTAGTTCACCTTTTCAGAGAGTACTGCTTTCCCAAGGCTGCCTCAGGGTCCTGCTGACGGATTGCTCTAATTGCAGTTGGTGAAGTAAAGAAGGCAGCTACTTCATGCTCTGCTAGCACACGGAAATAGGCACCAGCATCTGGCGTTCCCACAGGCTTCCCCTATGGAGAGAATAATTCAAAATGTCACAGGATAAAAATACTTTATAATTCCTTGACAGTTCAAGGCTTGAACACGTAAAAGCAGCGGTAGCACAGCAACAGAAGTAATTTCAAGTAAGACTCTAAAGAAGGCTTTGTTAAAAATAACACTACTGTGAGTGTATTCACTTGTGGAAATAAATTCACAAGCTTTGGGCACAATCTCTCTCATGAACACAGCACATAGTAGCTGCTACTTAGAAAAAAAGGGCAAATGGACACATGAATGAAAAGACAGCCACAAAGAGCCGTTATTACACTGGCAGCAGAGGGAGTCCTGTCTACATCTACCCTTACGGCAAAGCAGCCTGTAGAACACCCAGAGTCCCACTGAACTAGGAGTCTCTGGACACAGCTGCACTGCAGCTATACCCGCCATGCACAGGCCTATGGGACATAATGCCACCTTTTTCTCACCTAGCAGTTTCCTTCCAATTCTGAAAAAATTTCCATTCAGTTGATTACAACTGCCTTCTTGGCATCTTTGTGCTGCTACTCCACAAAGACTGGAGAGAAGCCAAAGACCCCTTTTCTCAGAAGTTTTAGCATGCTACCAGACTGTGGTCTCATTTGTTTGGGTTTTTCTTAAATACTAAACATTGTCTTGAGCTAAGGGGTATAGTCAAGAGAATTGTAAACAGAGTAATCAGATGTGACAAATTGTCCAATGGTAAGTAATAATAATCACTTTTCTCTAGTGCTGCAAATATTAAAAAGTTGTCAGTGTAGGATCGCATAATCACAATCTTACTGTATGTATTACTGCAGTGCATGAACTGCTCCATACATATTCTGAAATTATGAAAAGATGATGTAAATGTGGAATGAGCTTTCGCTCCACAGGTATTGCCATGACCTTTTCACTAGAAAGGCCACACATGGAAGACAAACTTTGACACAGGACACAAGTTAGGAGAAACATACACTTTACATACTGCAAACACAGCTTTCTCAATGCTTTACACAAGGCAGCACACAGTGAAAGTTTCACTGCTGAAATGTCACTGGCTTTACAGCAGTTCACCAGTCACAAGACAAATTCATACCTCCACCATCCTTGTGTAAATACACATTTGGAATACATCCTTCCTAACAGGCGTCATTCACATTCATGTATTTTATTGCTTTCCACAGAGTTGCAGGCACAATTTATGATTCTCAGCTAGCAACAGGCAGCACAGTCTTCACTTGTGCCAGTAACTTTCAAGAAACCATACGTACTTTTTCCTCTAACACAGGAGAAGACTTGCAATGAGACAAACACAATGCAATAGATAGATTAATAGGTCCAGTAGAAAAAAAAAAAAAGCAGAGGAAACTTTTTATTTTGCCAAGATGCAAAAGGAACATAGTCATTGGAATAACCTGAAGAATTTACTAAATCCAGTATTTTTATTTTAATAATGAGGCACTAGTAACACATTAAACATCTTCATGAAAACGCACACTAATTGAGTTAGTTGCCCTGTCCCAATATAAAAAGCAGTGTGCTGGTCGTGATGCAGACTCATAGCAATTCATCTTTTCCCCTCTCTCCCACTTGTCCTCCCCACTGTTGTCTTCCCCAGACTTGCTCTGCATCCAGCTGTGCCTTAACACTGGCAAGAGCATCAATGAACTATTTGGCAGATTTAAAGAACACAGGATGCCTTAGGCCAGGTATGTACCATTAGCTTCACAGCCCTACAGTGAGATATTGCTGGTGAGAGGAGTGCTGCAACAGAGGATCATCGTAAAAGGAAAAAACACGAAGACAAAACAGAATGAATAATTAAAAAAAAAGGATGGAGAGGCGGTGAGAAGCAAATGGAGAGAAAATAAACAAAAGAAACAATCCTCAGCCAAAGTAGCAGGGAGGAGTATTACCAATGTCAAAAAAATCTTTTTGCTAATGTCCTATCCTAAATTACCAAAAGAAATGCAAAAGAATGCTATTTGCTTGGTAAAAAAGTGAGTTATGTCCTTTTTTCTGTCATATAACACAGTTTCCAAAGAAAAATCTTTCACCTGACTATCTTTTAGCATCCTCTTTGCAAACTTCTTCATTGCAACTTTCATGTATTCATCCAAGTGTTCATCAATATTTGTTCATGAACCTTTTTATTCAAGTTCATGTCATTTCCCTATAATATTCACTATACCTGCAGATCTGCATTCATATGGTTAGGAGTTCAAGCCCACATCACTAACACTTAAACAAACAGTCTCGGACTATGAAAAATTCCATATTTCCATAAACTTCTCATTAACTAATTATGCAACCGAACTAGCACCATCTGTACTCATCTTGAACAGCAATGAACCAAACGGTAGAACAAATGGAAATCAGTTATTCTGCCAGTAATAATGTAGGCTGTTATTTTTAACCAATTAGAAATGTTTAGAGCTCATAAAAGGGCTGTGTCTGGCCCTGAGCACACCCATCCCCTCCTAGAGGCTTAGCTGCTGATGCTCAAGGGCAGGTTTGCCATGGTGCACCTGCGTAACTTTGGATCAGACCACTGGGAAAACAGAGAAGTTGCGTGAAGAGCTGAAAGGAGTCTCTCCTTGCTTGGGAAGGGATTTATGCTCATGCTTTTGCCAGTGGTCCCTGCCAGAGTTATGTTGCAGGCATGCCTGTGCCTCACACCTCCAGCAAGCTCGAGCCTGAGCCTGAGCCTTAGAGCATCTTCAACACAAGCAGCTAAACCTTCAAGAGTGAGTGGGTAGGCATGCGAGGCTCTGACACGTTGACATTTGTATGTCACAAGTAAGCTACAACAGCTTTGGTTTGGAGAAGTAACATTCTCACATCTAGAAGAAAAACAAATAAAACTCAAAAAGTGTATGGAAAGGAATAGAAAGTTCTCCTGACAGTCATTAGGAAATAATACCCAAAGAATAAGGCGACACTTAAAATATTCATTTCAGAAAAAAAAAATCTAGCCCAGCTGTAAAATATTCTTAGCGATTCTGCAGAAAAACCTCCGTGGTGCTTTGGCAGCTGTTCACAGTTTAACAAATGTATAAACAAAAACTGACGTGAGCAAAATAAATCTGAGACAGTGCAAATTAATTTCAGAGTCAAAAAAAATGCAAGTAAAATTGCGAAAAAGAGTTCTCCTTTATTATACAAAAATTTTAAGAAGTACTGCAAGATGCCATCAGAGGCTTACTACCACATGCAATTTTGATTTTTAAAAAGTTAGCAATATAAACAATAAAGCACAGGGTAATTAAATTCAGAATATGCTTCCAGTTTATTGAGTCAATTGGGGACTATGAGCAAATCAGATGCTTCCACCGGATTTCTGCAGGGATCAATTCAAGACCTGTTGCTATTCAATATTTATATCAATACTGGAGATGAAAATTTATTTCAGAAGTTACTTGCAATATAACATCTGTGGTTGGCAGGAACTGAGAGCATGGTAAACAAGAACAAGGCAGTCAGAGAGACAGTGATCTGCCTCACCCAAATTAAAAAAGAAAAGTAGAAACAGACACTTCTTGTGTCAGTTAGGACGATTCATATAGAAAGGATTTTCTTCCAATAACCTACCAAGAGACTCTCAGACAGAGACAAATGTCTTTCTGGAAGTACCTAGATTTATCATGTAATTTATCAGAAGTCTACCATGGAGCAGGTGTCCTCAGGTAGAATGTGTTCATGGATAGTACTTGATTATGAAAGAAGATTCATAGTCAGCAAGAATGATCAAGGGGATAGAAAAGTTCTCCTATGGAGGAAGTCAGAAGCCACCGAGATGGACATATAAGAGAAGCTGTAATAAAATAACCAACTACGCATCAACAACAGCTCAGCAATTCCTCTTCTGCCTGACCTCTAACAACAAGGCGCTCTTCAATTAAAGATAAATTCAAAATAATGAGGAGGAAATTCCCTCTGCATAGCAAATATTATACATGGAACTAAACTAAAACCAGCTGACATCAAAACAAACAAAATCCTGACACATCAGGATTCAAAAGATTATATTCATAGAGGCATTCATCTTTCTGCTGGTGACGCTGCTGCCAAACCGCCACCAAGGATGTGAGACGATGCGTCCCACTGAATTTGTTCCAAAAATACAGTCAGTATGGATGATGGCAGAAAGATCACAAAACCAGCAAACTCCAGAGGCAGCACTTGCTTTGTAAGCTGATGATAACGGCTTACAGAAACTGTAGAAAGGCTGGATGTCCCAAAGTTGTTAACAGCTGTGCCAAATGAGAGTAATTTTAAACCTGTTGCTGTTGTGTACCCTGCGGATTTGTTGCAACAGCAGGGACTGGAAGGATCCCAGTGAGCGCTGTGAGGAAGGCTCCATGTGCACAGCAATGTCTTGCTACAGCTGTGTGGGACAATAGCTCCTTCTCTTTCCCAGATGACTCAAATGCATGGCTTAAGTCCTTAATGCATGGCTCCTTGGCAAATATGGGCATCCTCTTCCTTACCCTAGCTCCAATTCGAAGTCCCAAGCATCGCAGTAATACAATGCTGCCTTTTTCCTGACATCACAGTTAGTAGCTAAACTTTCTCTTCATGCTGCCCTGTTGCTTATAGCATGAGATTCCATTAGCAAGAGCAACCCAGAGTGGGCTGTGAGACTTCAAGTAGCTTATTTATAGCTGAAGTTTGTCATGCCTTGGAGAAAAACAATCCAGGACAGACTTAAAAAAAAAAAACAAAAAAACACAAAAACCCACAAAACCAACAAACCTGGCTGTATCCAGAGGAATTCATTACTGTTTTCACATTCCTGACAATGGTGTTACAGCAAGCAAAAACTGAAAGCATGTCGTTACCATAGCAATTGTTAAAGTGACAAGCTGTCACTTACCAAGTAATTTAAAAATAAACAAATCGCTTTAAGAAGTGAGGGTATGAAGTCAGCCCTGTTCATATTCAATAGTGGTTGTCCCTAGGCAAAGGGGATGAAGTCGTTCTTTCCCTGTACCTAAATAGCATGCTGATA